GTCCCACTCCAGCCAGGCCTTTGGTGCAGCTCAGATTTGGGTTTTCACTGCCCCAGCCCAGCGAGGCCCCTCAGGGATGGAGGTTCCAGCCCTGCACAGCAGCAATGGCACTGCTGGGTCCTTCCCTGCTCCAGGCAGGTCCTCACTGCTGTGGGAGGGGGTTGAGGTTTGCCTGGGGGCTCCTGGAAGAAAGCAGTGTTTCCAGAACCACCTCTCTGCTCCCATCCTCCTCTCTGTAATGGACTCAGGATGTTAATTAATAGATAATTGCTAATACCTTGCATCCCTCTAATGCCTCTGATGAGCTTCAAAGCACTTTGCAGTCCCTGGCTACGATTCCATGCTCTGAGAGGGCAGAAATTGCACTTCAGAGATGTTTCAGGAACTTGCTGATGATCCAGGGCTGGATCAGCACCAAGCCCCAGCTCTGGGCTCCATCTGCAGGCCCTGCCCTGCCTCCCACCCCAGCCTCCCCTGCAGCCCTCCCAGCCCGGAGCCAGGGCAGGAACACAAGGGGTTAAAGCCTGTCCTGATGGGCTGGTGAGATCATCGGAGCCGGGATGCTCCATTGTTTATTAGAGCCAGCAGAGCCCAGCAGACACCACCCAGAGGGATGAGGGGCTTGGGCTGAGCCTGCCCGTGGACAAGGGGCTCCTGCTGCAGCCATCCATCCCTCCCTGCCCACCACGTGAGTACCAGGGGTGTCCCAGGGTGGAGAGGGACGGGGTCCAGCAGGGCGAAGTGGGGTCATCCCCGCCTGAGCCCCACAAAGGCTCAGCAGGTGCTAATTTGTCCCTGAGGGCTGTGGACCATCCCAGCTGCTCCTGAGGGATGCAGGCACCAGCCCAACCCTGCTGCACTCCAACAGCAAGGGGACTGTGCCTCTGGCTCCATCCCAGGGGGTTTGTGGGGTGTGTAGGGGAGGTGAGATGCTCTGACGCCCCGCAGGGTCTCGGGGCAGCAGCAGCCTCTCTGCAGGGACAGCTGCCCATGGAGGCACTGTCAGCCCGCTCCTGGCTCTGGGGTGAGCAGGGGCACGGGGACAGGAACGGGGCTCAGCACCCACCCCTGGGACCCACAGCCTCCCTGGCCTGTCCCCTCCTAACTGAGCCCAGCAGAGACCACAGCAGCACAAGGCTGGGGCTACTCGGGGCTGGCAGTGCTGGGGTCACTCAGTGCCTGCTCAGGGACTGCCAGTGCCACCACCCCTGGGGACAGCAGGCACAGAGTGGGCAGTGGCTCAGCGTGGGCAGTGGCACATCTGGGCAGTGGCACAGCATGGGCAGAGGCTCAGCACTCCCTTCCAGGCCTTTGGTGCTGTTTCCCTCTGGGGATTTGGGTGCTGTGCCCTCAGCACCTCCCCATGGGCAGTGCCCCAGCCAGAGGGGGCTGTGGGGCTGCTCTGCACGGGGCCCTCATCTTCATCTTCACCTCCATCTCCACCTTCCTGGCTTTCCTGGGCACCCTGGGCAGGCTGGGTCCCTGAATGTTCCTCTCTCTCCCTAGAACTGACTGAGAGCCACTCCTGATGAAATTTGGCCAGCACGAACATCCCAGAAGAAGTTTCTGCTGGGTTTGTGCAGGTCCCTGAGTGCAGCAGCCTCCTCCCCTCCCGTCCCATGGGCACAGGAATCCCCCAGAGCAGCAAAGCCCTTCAGCTGGCACACACAGAGCCAGGGGGTCCTGCACTGACATTGTCCTCTGGGGCTCCTGCACTGACACAACACCAGGACCAGATCAAGAGTCCAACTGAGACACTCCAGAGCAGCAGGGAAATCTTTTCCTCCATTCCCCAGGGTTTTTAGTCCCAGCTGGACCAAGAGAGGATCTGGTGCCCGTTGGGGTGCCAGGCTGGGCACAGCCCCTGCTGAAGGACAAACCAGTCCTCTGGGTCCCAGCCCAGGCTCTGCAGGGCACTGGAGCTGATCTTTGCAGACCAAAGCTGGGCTGTGCTCGTATCTGACAACCTCAAGAACATCCCCAACACCACCACAGACACAGTCGAAACCTCCTTTCTAGTCAGTTTAATCCCCATAACAATCTACAACTACTCAGGAGCAGAGAGCCTGAACTCCTGCTGAGAATGAAAATTCATTATAAACTTGAAAACTCCTTCCCCAGCAAGGAGCCCCCCGAGATTTCCCAGTTCAGAGCCCAAACCTCACCACACAAAGCACTGGGAGAGCAAAGGGAGGAGAAGCCCAGGAGGGTCTCCCTGAGGGAGAGGGGAAGGAGAGACCCCAGCAGTGAGAGCTGCCCAGGGCTCCAGAACACCAGATGTGAAATCTGAGACGTGCTCTGGAGGCGTTCTCAGCGCAGCAAAGACTCATCTGCTGATTGTCTGCTTCCAACAATGGCTAAAAATCCGGGAGAAACCCGATAGCACTCTGCTGCCGGGCTGCTCCGTGCATGCAGAGCACATCTGTGATGGGCTGGGATGGAGCAGGGGCACAGCAGCCGCTGGAATTGCATTAGCTCTCCCAGGAGCTGCAGATCCTCCCTCCGGGCAGGGAGTGAAATCCTTCATCAGCCAACAGTGGCAAAAGGTGGCTGCAAACCAGGCTGTGCCAGGAAGTGCTGGGAAAATGAGCAGGGGCTGGGAATTGTGGTGAGAGGGGTGGTTCTGCCAGGAAATGAAAGGGGGAATAAATCCTCTGTGGTGGAAAGGCAGAGCTGAAAGGCAGCTCTGGTTCCTGCAGCAGCCTGGGATCAATGCTGTGCACACAGAGGGGCAGAGCTGCTGCCCTGGGTGCACAATCAGGGTGGCAGCACACAGGGAATGGGATGGCTGAAAGATGGAACAGCGCAGGGAGTTTTGGGCTGCTGAGGTGTGGGATTATTCCAGAGAACAAACCAAACTTCCGAGCACAAACCCAAATTAAAATTAGATGGTGGCTTGGTCCTAAAACCTCTCTGTAATGCACCTTGGGAGGACAAAGACAAGAAATGCCAGGATGAAATGTCAGGGAATATTGGAGTGCACTGGAAGAGGGGGAGCAGAAGGTAGCAGTGCTCTGAGGCGGATGGGGGCACCTGGAATTACTCAGGATTTGGGAATCTCCCTGCAGAGCTGCAGCTGGGGGGCTCAGGGTGGGCACAGCAGGAATTTCCCGATGGAAAGGGGGCTCAGGCACTGGAAATGCCCAGGGAGGGTAGGAGTGCCCATCCCTGGAGGTGCCCAAGGAATTCCTGGAGGTGGCACTGAGTGCTCTGGGCTGGGACAGGGTAGGGATGGGGCACAGCTGGGGCTGGAAGGGCTCAGAGGGCTTTTCCAGCCTAAAGGATTCTGGGATTCTCTATCAGAAATGTGTCCCTTGCCCTTTCCCTGTTTCCTGTTTCAACAGAGAGCAGTGAGAACTCCAGACAGGAGTGCTGCAAATCCTGTGCACTGTTCTTGGCTTTTGTTTGGTGCTTCTTTGTCCAAGCCCGACAGAAACATCCTGAAACACCCCAAAAGATGTCAATACACCAGCTCTGCAGCAGTGGCTGTGCTGGGGGGACCAAATTGTAAGATTACTGTAAAATAATTGTAAAATTACTGTAAAATTACTCTGTGTCACCTCAGAGTAACCACGGATCTGGCAGGGACACAGGTGAAGGAGGGAGGGAGGTGCTGGCTGGCACCCATCCATCAGCAGCCCCAGGTGGGCACTGAGCCCAGCTCTGGGCAGGTTCCTCCAGCCCTGGAGCTGTGCCAGCCCTGCAGCCTCAGCCTGGCTGCCCTGAGGTGGAATTTGCTCCCACATGGATCAGCAGCTCCAGGACAGGGCTCTGGGGTCACCTCCTGCCCACCTGGGAGCACGGCCAGCCTGGCACCACCTGTGTGGTGGCATCTCCTGGAGTGCCAGCCCTGCTGAGCAGAGCAAACCCAGACCTGAGGGGCTGCAGGGGGTTTGGGTCCCTGCCCTGGATCAAAGCCCAGGGGGCTACAGGTCTGTGTGGTGTGACGGTGCTCACAGGGGTTCTTGGATGAGGAAAGAGATGAGGATCTGACTTCATGTTTAAGAAGGCTGATTTATTATTTTATGATATATATTACATTAAAACTATATAAAAGAATAGAAAGAAATTATTTCATCAGAAGGCTAGCTAAGAATAGAACAGCAAAGAATGATAACAAAGGCTTGTGGCTCGGACAGAGAGTCCAGGCCAGCTGACTGTGATTGGCCATTAATTAGAAACAACCACATGAGACCAATCCCAGATGCACCTGTTGCATTCCACAGCAGCAGATAATCAATGTTTACATTTTGTTCCAGAGGCTTCTCAGCTTCTCAGGAGGAAAAATCCTAAGAAAAGGATTTTTCAGAAAAGATGTCTGCAACAGTGTGGTGCTTGGGGATAGCTGTGCTGGGCACTGCAGTGGTGGAACTGCAGTGGTGGCACTGCCCATCCTTCTGCCCATCCCTCTGCAGGATCCCACTGCCTGCTCCACCTTTTCATGGCTGTGATGCTCCCCTTTCCCTGCAGTGACCCCAAAACCTCCTGCACCTCCATCTGGGCTGTGCTCACTGATGACCAAAGGCCAGCATCCTCCTGTGGTGTTACATTTCAGTTAAATGGTTTGCTCAGCCTCACCCTCCAAAAATGTAGGGTTTATTTCAAGCCTGATCCTCCCCTGAGGTATCATGGATCTGTAATCCCATTGCCGAAGCTAGACCCCCCTAGCTTGGCAGAAGGGGCCCAAAGAGTAGTTTTTAGGGTTTTTAAGGGTTACACAGTATGGCAGTGTAATGATTCTTATAGGCTGTATGGAAATCCTATAGGATTTGTATCTTGTACCAGATTGGTCAGTGAGAATCAGAATATTCAACACAGAAGAAGATTTATGGTATTGTAACAGGAACCTTACTCTTTTACCCTTTTACCCTCTTACTCTCTCATCCTCTCTCCCCCTCTCTTCTCTGGGGCCTGCTCTGAGCTGTGCCTGGCAGCTCCCAGCAGGGCCCTGCACCCAGGCCCTTTGCAATAAACCACAAGTTCCATGACCAGAAGAAGATTCATTGCATTGTAACGGGAACCTCACCCTCTGATCCTCTCTTTTACTTTCTCATTCTCTCTTTACCATGCTCTTGCCTTCTTTCTCTTTACCCCTCTCTCCCTCTTTGGGGCCTGCTCTGAGCTGTGCCTGGCAGCTCCCAGCAGGTCCCAGGTCCTTTGAATAAACCACAGGCCCTTTGCAATAAACCCCAAGTTCCAAGCTCTGGCTTCAGAGACCTCTCATCTCCATCCATCCCAACCATCCTACCCCTAACGCTCCTACACCTGGGGACCCCCAAACGAGCTGCAACTCCCTCCATCCCTTGCCCTGCTTTCTCTTTTGTCCCTCCAGGTGTCCTCCTGCTCCCAGCACCATGGAGGTGCCCGCCAGGAGCCCGGATGGCAGCGAGCAGTGTCCCCAGGGCAGGGAGCTGATGGCCAGCAGCACGGGCAGCACGCTGTGCATGAGCTCCTCCCGCAGCGAGTCCGTGTGGACCAGCAGCACCCCCAGGAGCAGGTGGGACATTTACCGCAAGCCCCTGGTGGTAGTGGCCGTGGGAGTGGCCATCTTCCTCTTCGGGGTGGTCATCACCAGCCTGGCCTGCTTCCTTGAGAAGCACAAGAAGGTTTACAAGATGTCCGGCCCGGCCTTCCTGTCTCTGGGACTGATGCTCCTGGTGTGCGGCCTGGTGTGGATCCCCATCATCCGCAAGAAGCAGAAGCAGAGGCAGAAGTCCCAGTTCCTGCAGAGCCTCAAGTCCTTCTTCTTCAACCGCTGAGGGCAGCCAGGAGCTCCTCCAGGAGGTTCCCTGCCCTCCTCCAGCCCGTGTTGATCAGCCTTGAGAGCAAACACTTTCTTGTACTTCCCAGAGGATTTCACCCCCGTCAGTGGCTTCCCTCCAGTGTGAAAATGAACTTTGTGCTCCATCTACGTCATCCCAGGGAAAAAGGAGCAGGAATTTCCAGCTGAGCCCAGCAAGACAGGTCCCAGGTCTCTGCATCACCCCCCTGTCCAAAGAGTGACCCAAGAGCACAAAGTGGGTAAAGTAGAGCCCCAGAGGAGCCTGGGCTGAAGCAAAACCCCAAAGGAACCCAGATCCCCCAGGAGGTTCTGCAGGATCCACCAGCAGAGGGGAGAGGAGCCACAATTCCTCCCAGCTCCCTGAATTGCCAGAGGGGCTGGAGGGTCTGCACAGCAGCAGGAGACACAGTAGAAGCAGAGGGACACAAACCCTACAGAGGGTCCCAAATCCTACAGAAGGTCTCAGATCCTACAGAGGGTCCCAGCCCCTGCTGCTCCAGACACCTGGCAGGGCAGGGACAAGGGAGATGTGTCTGGGAATGGTGTGAGCTGTGGGAGCTCAGGGCTGATTCCCTCCCTGCACTCAGCCTTCCCCTGGCCCTCCCTGCTGAACTCCCCCATTTCTGCCACTCCAACACCTCTGCCTGAAGCTGTGCCCCGCTCAGGGACCTGAGAGCTGAGCCTCTGTGTGTCCCCATCCTGGCTGGCAGGGAGCTCAGGCTCACCCTGGTATTGGTGCCAATCTGTGACCAGGGCTGTGTGCCTGGGTGTGCCCTCCATGCTCTCATGATCCGTGTGGGCAGAGCTGGAGGTGGCACATCCCATCCCGGCAGCTGGCACAGCTGACTTAGGAGTGTTTGAGCACACAAATCCCTTTGCCTCAGGCTCAGCCTGGCCCTGAACTTTGTTTCCTGATGGTGCAGACACCCCTGTGCAGGCAGTGCCAGCTTGGCTGAGCCAGGCCTGGCAGGGATCCAGCAGAGCTCTTTGTTCCTGTGCCATCCCTCGTGCCGTGCCACGCTCGATGCTGTTTGCAATCCTGCCCTGGCACAGCTCCCAGCCCCTGCTCCTGCTGCTGCCACAGGCAGGGATGGTCCCCCAAAACTCCTGCTGGGGCAGCTGCAGCCAGGTGGGCACCAGGATTCAGCATGGGAGACCAGGAGAAGGTGGAGGGCAGCCCCAGGTGCCAGCTGGTGCAGGGGTGGGCACAGGGTGGGCACCCTGGATCTGCCCTGGGTGGAGATGGGTCCTGCTGCACAGAGCTGTGCCCAGCCAGGGCTGCCTGCCCACAGGGCTGCCCCAGGACTGCCAGAAGCACAGAGGGAGCTCCTGCTGGCCCTGGCCAAGGAGGAGGCACTCACTGAAATGTCAGTGGGATAAAACGTCACGGAGAGCAAGAATTGAATTGGGTTCCAGACCTTATTTATAGAAGGAATGTGCGGTTTCATTAAAGGAAAAGCTTCCCAAGGGAGCTGCACGTGGCTGCTCTAGTGTCACATCTCTGCTGGGTGACGGGGATGTGGTGACAGGGCCTGGGGTGGTGGGGCACCCACTGGGCAGGAGGGCTGGCCAGGACAGGGGCAGGACAAGGAATGTCTTGGGGCTTCTGCTGCTCACAGTGACCCTGAGATGTGTCACAAAGTCTCTTCTGCCAGCCCAGCGCTTGAAGAAGGAGTCAGAGCTCTTCTGGTCTCATTATCAAGGTTGTTTATTGTTTCTTATTTGTAAAATTCTTTCTTCTGTCCAACTGAGGTCCTCTCAGCAAGACAAAGGTGTGCCTGCCCCAGGGCTGTGTTATCTTTTTATACTAAAAGCTACGTGTACAATATTTGCAATTAGTTCCCCATACCTATCACCTATGTTAGACAGTGCGCTTCTACTCTAAACCAATCCCAAAGTGCCACCATCACAGCAGAAGATGGAGGCCAAGGAGAAGAAGGAGAAAGGCTGGACACACCCAGATCACTCCATCTTGCCCCCTGAACCCTCATACCAAAAACCCCATAAATCCATTTTTTGCCCTGTGACAAACTGATTATTATTCTACTTATACTTCTGTGGCTTGCAGATCCTCAAATAAGGTTGGTAATTTGCTCCATGGGTCACTATCAAAGTCACAGGGGTCTTGGGCTCTGTGCCAGGGTCTCTGAGCCCCGGGGCTGGGGTCTGGGCACTCCAGGACAGCCAGAGGGATGTCCTGAATTCCAACAGGAATGGGGCTGAGGCTGCTCTGGGGCTGGGTGAGGGCTGGGGGAACAGATCTGTCCTGGCAAAAGGATGGAGCCTGCAGGGAAAAGGAAACCGCCAAGGACCAGCAGAGCCTGTGAGGAGAGGATTCATCAGATGGAGTTCAGTGTTTTCTGCCCAGATCTGTGCTGGGACAGGGAGGCAAAGGGACAGGAACGTTAGGGGGAAATCAGATTTATAGGGGGGAGATAACTGAGGGAAACTCAGATTAACAGGGGGGAGATAACTGAGGGAAAACTCAGATTAACAGCAGGGGGATAACTGTGGGAAAGTCAGATTAACAGGTGGGAGATAATTGAGGGAAATTGGGACAGGGAGGCAAAGGGACGGGAACACTGGGGAAACTCAGATTAACAGCAGGGGGATAACTGAGGGAAAATTCAGATTAACAGGTGTGGGAAAACTGAGGGGAAATTCAGATTAACAGGTGGGGGATAACTGGGAAAATCAGATTAACAGGGGGAGATAACTGAGAGAAAGTCAGATTAAAGGTGGGAGATAATTGAGGGGAAGTCAGATTAAGAGTAGGGGGATAACTGCAGGTGGAAGTGCAGGAGCAAAGTGGGAATTCCTCTTTGGTAGCACAGGGTATAAATGCCTGATCACTGCCAGGGACAGAGGGAATTTTGCATTGGAGCTCCCAACAGTGGGAATTGCATCCTTTCCTTGGAATGAGCTGGAGCCTGAGGGCTCCTCACAAAGGTTTCTTAAGGAGCTGACATAAAATTCACACCCTGCTGTGGCCCAGCAAAACCCACAGGGCTGCTGGGAAATGAATGAATTTCTGCCTCTGTGTTGTGGCACCAGGGAACCTTCACCTCCCTGGGATGTGGGAGGCTGCACAGACAAGGAGAATCCGTGGATTTAAATGGTTTTATGGACAACAGATTAAAAACAAGACATAGTAGAAGCAAGAGAGAAGAATGTGCCATTTATCCTGCATAACCTAACAGTGGTGGGTGCTGAGAAGTCCATGAGGAGCAGGACCCAGGAGGGTTCACCTGCTGCGTCCTCCTGCCACAGCTGGGCTGGATGGACCTTGGACCAGCCCATGGGGAGGTTCCCACCCTTGGGCTACTCCCATGCACCTCCAGACCCTGTTTGGCTGCTCCCTGCTGTTCCTCTTCACTCCTACTGAAGCCTCTTTGGATCCTGCTGCGATACTTTGGACCAGACCAAAGAAAAACATGTTCAGAGAAAAGATCAGGTTTTCCAGCAAACATAATTATGTCTCACTGAAGCAAGCTCAGATATGAGCCTGCCAGCTTCCTTCGTGCTATAAAAAGAACAGGAAATCCATTACAAAAGTCATTATCTGTGCAGAGCAGCTGAAAGAGGAAATATTGCCCTGCATCTCAAAGGTCGGGCAGCAAACCCGCCCGGCAGGCTGGGCTGGAGCACACCCTGCTCCAGGCGTGTGAGCTGCCTCATTCCTGGGCTTCCAGAGCACCAAACCTGCCCAAAGTTTGGCACAGCCCTGGGGCAGACCCCTCGCTGAGGAGCTCACATCCTGCCTGAGTTCCAGCACCTAAAGTGGCTCAAAGAGGGCTGGAGGGGGACTTTGGACAAGGGATGGGGGACAGGACTCAGGGAATGGTTCCCAGTGCCAGAGAGCAGGGCTGGATGGAATATTGGGAATTGTTCCCTGTGAGGGTGGGCAGGCCCTGGCACAGCTGGGGCTGCCCCTGGATCCTGGGCAGTGCCCAAGGCCAGGCTGGACAGGGCTTGGAGCACCCTGGGACAGTGAGAGGTGTCCCTGCCATGGCAGAGGTGGAATTGATGATCTCTAAGGTCCCTTCCAAGCCAACCCCTCCCACGATCCCAGGATCTCAGGCACATTCACCCTTGGGGCACTCAGGTCTGTGCAGCTGCTGGGATAAAGCATTGACGTGTGGAAGGGAGCAAGTGACCACTGGTGACTGTGATCACACCTTCACATCCCTGAGACCTTCCAGAGCTCCTTCCTGACATCTCTGAGACCTCCAGAGCTCCTTCCTGACATCCCCAAGACCTTCCAGACCTTTCCTGGAAATAGCCTCGGGCTGCAGAGGGCTGGTGGCCCAGATTCCTCTGGCTGGCTCCATGCCTGAGCCTGGATCCCAGTCAGGCTGCCAGAGCACCCCAAAGTGCTGCTGCTGCTCCTCCCGATGAGATCCCAGCAGGAGGAGCTGCACTTGCCCATCCCTCCCCAAAACCCAGCAGCTTTCCCTGTGCTCAGTGAGAGCAAACCCTTCAGGCGGTCTCAGTGCCCACAGTGAGTTTGAAACCCTAAAAACCCCTCCCTGTTTCCACCCTGGACGCTGGGCATATGGAAAGTGGGTAAGGAACAGCTTTTTCCTGATGCCCAGGGCAAGGAGCTGCTCAGGGAGCAGAGGGTTTGCTCAGGGCTGTGGGTGTGTGTGTTTGGGAGTGGCAGAGGGAGAAGGTCAGGATAAGGTTGGGATAAGGTTGGGAAAAGGTTGGGATAAAGTTGAGATAAGGTTGGGGGAAGGTTGGGATAAGGATGGGATAAGGTTGGGGTAAAGTTGGGATAAGGTTGGGATAAAATTGGGATAAAGTTGGGAGAAGGGAGACAAGAGGGAGAAGTTTGGGATAAATTTGGGATAAGGTTGGCATAGGGCTGGGATAAAGTTGGGATAAGGCTGGGATAAGTTTGGGATAAGGTTAGGAGAAGGTTAGGAGAAGGCTGGGATAAAGTTGGGATAAGATTGGGATAAATTTGGGATGAGGCTGGGAG